GTTGTCCTTTCGTGGTTTTATACACAGCTCTGAAAGGCCCCTATACAATTTGAGGGCAAATGTATGCAGTACATCTAACTGATATTTGTTACAAGACCCCGTTAGTGGTCCCTCGAGGCCTACGGGAGTTTTCTGCCCTTCCCTCTTCAGCTTTCCATCCCATCTGGAGGTAAACCGTTGGCAGCCTCGGCACTGCCTGGTCTCTCAGATATTATCTGGCAGCGCGCCACAGAGCGAGGCAGAGAGACAATGTGATACCTACTGTACGGTTATTTGTGTATCCTTGGATGTGTTGTGTGGACGTGTGCCTGCAGAAGAGCTGGAGCGCTGCCATGCTGGAGACAGAGAGCCATACAAGGAGAGGTCAGGCTGCAGGATGGCAGTGCTGCAGATCAGATTAAAGAAGAACTGAGGTCTTCTGTTGGGGAGAGGGGTCCCACTATGGAGCTGCATGCTCAGGCCCACCTTCTCCGTCAGGCCCTGAGAGCAAAAGGAAGTGATGTCAGAAATTGTGCGTGCTAGAAATGACCTTCAGTTTACAATTTGCCACACAATCGACATTATATCCGTCTTTTAAATATTTGTTGTCAATGAAGGAAAATAAATGGTTAAAGGAGACTTTTGTTTCACTATAACTTGAATAAGATATAGGTAAATGTGTATAATGCTAGCTAGATAACATGTATTGTTTCCCTTGGTGGTATTGGTAGAGGTATTAATGCATGCATGTGACTAAATGTAATAAATAAAGGCTCAGTTAGCTTCATTTTACAAACGATATGCGCAGTAATAAGTGAAGCAAAATAAGGCTTGTGTTTAAATCAGAGTGCTAGTGATCGATTCTACAGGAAATAATCAATCCTTTCATTTGTAGTAAAAGTACAGTCCTGGCTGGGCTGAACAGCATGCTGGTGTTCATTCCCTGCTCTCTGCAGAGTGTGTGTTACCTTCCTAATGCGTGTGTGTTTGAATGTTTTATAAATCAACCGAGCGAAAGTCTACACAAGATGAAAGAGATTCTGAAAATGATCTAACTGCTCTGAAGTCTGTATCTGCGTGTGACTGTGTGTGTGTGTGAGAGAGAGAGTGAAAGTGCAGGAGGGAGATTTATGTAGAAGTGAGGTCAAATATCTTCTATACCTAATAATACATCACACACACACACACGCACGCGCACACACACACACACACACACACAACCTCCCCCACCCATGTGTTGACAGTTTCCATGGTGAATGCTGAAGAGTCATCTCTGCATTCCTCCGAGCGCGCTCACACACACGCGCACACACACATTAACATTCACTCTAAGGGGGGGTCGGTTACACTCTCTCCCAGTTCAATATTTGATTTCAGCTGCAAACATGTCTGAGATTTGCAGTGTCTGGTGGGTAAAATGTGCTCTTGGCAATACTAGTGTACTAATACTATTACAAGTAAAAGTACTGCATACTTAGGTAAACATATGAAAGATTTAGCATAAAATGACACCCCCTATCCTGCCGAATGGCTCGTTTCAGAATAATATCTTTCATACTATTGGATTATATGTTATTAATGCATCCATGTGTGCAGGACAGAAAACTCCATGGGTCATTGGCTTCGTTAGCAAACTTGTAGACTTGCTAGCATTCATAAGTAATGCAACCATGACGTTAGAGCTGTTCGTATTTATGACTGAGACTGTAGGGGTAGAATATTGAACCCTACATTACGTTGTTTTTGTAATCTGAACATCCAAAGTGAATGAAATAAAAGAAGTGGAGGAAAGGGTTCAATAATTCATTTGAGTAGAAAAAATTCCCTCATTGTTTTTAAATACAGCATTTGAGTGTTAAGTGAAGTGACTTTCCCCCGACCCTTAAGATTTATGGCCCCGTGTAGGGTTTCTGTGTGTGTGTGTCACTACAGCAATAACTTATGAGGTGAACACCAGAAACATGATCCTGTCTGCACTTTCATTGTTTTTCTGTTTAGTTACTCTGGAAATTGCTTGATAAAAGCCAGACTAGAAGACACACCTCAGGAAAGCTTAGTTTAGACACACACACGCCGTTTAAATTCCTGAATAATCCAACGCAAAGCTGAAGGGCGGAGAGGAGTTAACTTGTGTAAATACTTTAGTGTATATTATCCCTTACACTTCACAGTAGCTGCACATACCTTGCAGCCACCGTGGAGCATTGTGGGTAAAGTGTGAGTAGCTAGCACCTGCAGGAGCACCTGTGGAGGGTGAAGAAATGAGTGTGAGGTGTTAGAAAGCACAGCGCCGTGTCACAGGAGTTAATGAAGTGAGCCTGCTGGCGATGAGTGACTCAGACACATGGACAGCGTCAGCCTCCATCACAGCCTCCATCACAGGGTGTTGAAATCAAACTCTTTGGGTGATTCGGGGTCAGTGTTGGAAGACGTCCATCATGACACGCCACTGTAAGGAAGGCTGCGGTAGCGAAACAGCTGCTAGCTTCCTGTCAGAGCAGACCTGCGAGCATGGGGAAAAAGGGTCATGCTGTGAATTTACAACGGAAAAAACATGGTTGTTGAACCAACCTGTGGTAGTGGAGGTGAAACAAGTACAATAACCATTATTTTGCTATTAAAAGTTAACAACTTCTAGATCCTTCACATCGACAGTTTTAAGAGTTTTCCTGGGAGACAGGAGCACGTTTTGGTGTAAATTCCTTGGATGTAGCTACTATAAGGAGTGGATGTACTTACCAGGACGTCATCCATTGGTTTGTGGACAAAAGGATTGAAGCCTCGACTTTTGCCTTTTTGTTTGCATCTTGGTTTTTGAGAACCAGATTTGACACAAGAGGGTGGAATAAAGTACAACCGAACATTGAAGAAGACATATTCAGGCAACCAAAAGGTTACAATTAAAGAGGCCCTATTCTGCCGTTTGGGATTTCCCTATAGTGTGTTCAATAGGTTTCTGTGCATGAAAAAACATTTGAGTCTCTCCGTCAGGCAGCAATTGTTGGGTGTAAAACCCAAATGATAGTCTGTTTTATAAACTCATCCATTTCGAGTATTTCTTGAGGAGGAAAACAGTGAAGAGGGGAACATTCAGCAAAGTGCTGCATTTACCCAGCGAGAGACAGGCAGCAGCGATGGAGGCTGTAAACATCAGCGTTGATTACAATGAAGACGGGAAAACGTGTCGCCTCTGGTAGACTCTGGGGAGAACACGCTGCTTACTTCTCTCGGCGCGCTGCTACATTTTTCTGTCTGAACTTTTTTTATGTGGAGCAACCCTCGAGCCGTAGGAGGGTAACGCCACGAAATGTGCAATCTCCGAAAACAGCAGCAGTATACAGTGATGGCAAACAACAAGTTACCTTTACGTACAGCAGTGAGTCAATCAAGGAGACAATGGTTCCCACATTAGCAACTGATCCATAACAGGCAGAGGAAAGAAAACTGGGTCAAATGGACCCTGAGAGAGAACGAGTGCAAGTTAGAAAAAGCCACAGCGCGAACCAATCGACACTAGATCTCTATTTCTCTCATCTGCACACGTGAGGAAGAGAGATGGAGGAAGAGAGATGGAGTTGGATGGAGAATCGGTTGATAAAGAGGTGTAACAAATAACGCAGGAGAGCGACTGAGGTTTCAGCTCATCTGCATTTTAAATGAAGAAAGTGAGGAGATTGGTGACAAATATAATAAGCAGAGAATAAATCCCATAAGACTAACAAGGGAACGGGTGACACAGTATTAAAGACAGGAGGAGGAGGAGATGGAGATATGGCCGCGGCCTAATGTTGAATTATAAAACATGTATTCTGCTAGAAGTTTTTTTTTCTGATGTTTGCAAGCGTCGAAAAAGCTGATTGATGGCTTGCCCAGAGACGGAGAAGAAAAAAACAAATTGGCCCAGATTTGTCACGAGGATCTCTGATCAGCAGCATCACAGATCCTGAGGAAAGAAATCCACAGCGAGAAAAAAAACACCCAGTCGACGCTATACCTTCACAATTAAAACGATTTGTGTGATACCAGCAGGAACAAGTTAGACCAAATGCAGAAACGTAGCTCCGGGCGTAGAAGGGAACCTAGTGTGAACCCCCCTATAGGCTAATGGTTCAGTCTGTATTGATAGATTAATGAGGAACTACGGGGGTGGATTTGTATTCTAACTTTTTGATGACTAATTTAGGAGATCAGAAAATATCAGCTAAACCTTGAAGGAATAGAAGTACTGAATTGTACCTCTTTAATAAATGATATGAGCAAAGAAACTTGTAAACGGAATCTGAAATAACACGAATAAACTAAGTGTTTACTTGCCAACCATGAGACCTCAGAAATCGGGAGCATTTCAAAACCACCGCGGGGGGTGCTAGTGGATATGGATATGTGTGGGCTGGACCTAAGGGTAGAGTTGTCGATTGTTGTTCTGTTTTCTGTGACTGACTATCTTCCTCACCCTCTCAGACTTTCAGTTGCGCGCGCTGCTAAAGAGACGTGCTACCATGGAAACCAAACAATGGTGTAGCTGTATTAAAGTCCGAGTGGAAACAGTCCTGAGTAAATCTGATTTTGTCAGAAATCGGGAAAAATGCGGGAGAAATATGACCCCGGGAGGAAACCGGGAGAGGGCAGTGAAATCGGGAGTCTATGCTAACGTTAGCAAGCTAGCTCAGAGATATCATTACATTATAAGTAAACAGTTTATATTTTGTTGTTTTATGAGCCGTATAAGCTCAACCTGTTTTGCACAATGTGACCGTTTGATGCCTTTGCTTGCACTGTGTTCGATTAAAAAAAGCCTTGTTTTGGAAAGAAATTCAATGCTTTTTGCCGCGAAAAATTCGTTTTCTCAGTGAAAGTCTTCATGATCGAACAAGGGTTTAGAAAAGTAATGAATGAGAACACACCGGAAACTTCAGTAATGTTTGTGTTATTCCTAAGTTTTGCGCTGCATCATTTGCTTCTTGTTATAATAAGAAAAACACCATAAACATCAGAACATATAAAACAATATACAAAATGAATACATCTTACAAATCTATTTATTTAAAATAAAAAACATGATTCATCATACTCATTGCAGTCAAATGAGAAAATGAAAGGACACTGGGGAAACCTTGCAGTGGCATGTTCAGCGGTGTGTATCGATGCTACCTGTGTGCGTGTGTGTGTGTTATTCACCTGTGTAAATGTAAATGTGTGTGTGTTAATTATAATGTTAAAACCAATTTGAACACTGCAACAGAGAGGCACACACACACATAGATCTGTTTATGTTATTGGAAGTTTCTGAAGTAACTGTTGTCATCAATCAAGACCTCTCAAAAGGGTCTCAGCTTGACCCCTTGTTGTCCCTAACTGAAGAACATATTGCTATCACTTTAATTGTAGGATGCTATGCTATGAATAACACTTTTGAGTATCATAAGGGGAGATATTTATGGATTTGGGCATCTTGTCCTGATTGGATACAATTCTGCATTCAGCCAATTTCAGAGCGATGGTTGGAATATGTAACGTCCAATCAGAAAACACCCTCGTAATAAACTTTGACTTAGGGTAGAATATGTTATGAAGAGTACATCTTAATACGAGCTGTGACCTGACTACAGCCTGATATTGCTCATTCAGTTGCTTAAAATACCTTTTAAACTATTTAAAAACACCAAACAGAGCTCAGTGATGAGGGACAGCCTGGCTCATCTTGTTACTTAGGCCGTTTGGACCCCGCTGGGTGTTGGACACTTTGTGTGTGTGTTGTCGCTGGATCTGTGAGTGTGTGTTCACACAGCAGTCAACATGATACAACAATTCATCCGTTTGCTGTAAAAACACCTCAGAGACTCAACAGATGCTCATTGATGTTGGGAACAGCTGATCAGATGCTTTTGTTTTGGCTGCTAAGTGCAAAGGAAAAACTTTACAATCAAAGAGACGAAACCTCTCAGATCATTTTCTGGAAATGTTTCGAGATAGTTAGCAATTTGTTGAGCTCTAAGGCTTGAAATAGTTGGGGACTGGTAGCCTAGCTTAACTAAAATGAAAACAGGGGATGTATTAAAATGTTAACTGCCCTTTGAACTCATTCAAGTCATGTGATGTTTATAAAATACTGGAACATTTTGGGAAATGAGCTTATCTGCTCTTATTGTTAGTCTAGTTAGCATAAAGACTGGACGCAGTATTTCAATACCAACCTAGTTAACACATTGTATCTTTCTAACATGCCAAAACATTTGTCCTTGATTGACAGTTTAACCATTATCCAGGCCAAGACATATTTATAGCTGCATTTTTATAAGCTTTGACATAGCTAGGCTAGCTGTTTCCACCCGCTCTCTGTCTTTATGCTAACCACACCTGGAGTCTCACTCTGTATGCACAGGCATGACATTGATCTTCGTATTGAAGCAAATAAACAGCTTCTCCAAAATGTTTAACTATTCCTTTAAAGAGCAGAAGTGACACTTAGGAACATGCATGGTTTTCCTGTGTAAAAAAAGGAAGTAATATACTCATGTTGCTCACAGCTGGAAGACATGAGTCCAGATAAGTGACGGCTAGGTTGAGAGATCTGCAGACTTTCATGTCACTAACATGTAACCCAGGAAAAGGCTTGTGTTGACACCACTCTGTCGTTATAAAACAGTACATGCGACTCTTTGTCTCACGGCACTCGCACAAACACACACGAGACTCTGATAAAAACAGCAGGATACATTTCTGAATATCTATAAAAGAAGAGTGCTTGCTGTCGCCACTGTGAGCGGCAGTTCAAGTGTTGACCCGGCGAGCGCACCTCCGATAATTTCAAATATTGGCACCACGTACAGTATATCTCACACACAAACACACTAACTGCATATCTCCTCGTAAAGCTTAAAAATGTCTTTTTAAAATCTCGTAATTTTCAAAAAACTAGAGTAGAGAATAAAAGTAAATCTTATCCTTTTTTGTTAAGGTAGGAATACTCTGGGGTGGTGGCTGTAGTGCAATACCTCTCATGTGGGAGACATGTTGGCGTTTACTCCGTGACAGCAATAAGGCTCAGGCTGCATAAACCACCAGTCTCTGCAAATACAAAATAACTTTGTGACTAAACAAGGAAACAACTTCCATGAGCCCAAAGAGAAAATGTCTGTGCTTCCTCCAAAACAGAAACTTCAACAGGGAACAAAGACAGGTTGTTCTTGGCATTGGAAGAAGAAGAAATAGTCCAGCATGTGCGCTTCATTTGTTATCCCTAGAGGCAGGTTTAGTGGTCCTTTATTCCCAAGTGGCAGTGTTACCTCAAAAAAAGTTTCTTGTAGTGCTATGGTCTTAACAGGGAGCAAATATCTCGGTGAAAAAAAATCACTGGAAGCGCCACAGATTTAAACGGATCTTCACAGAAATCGAAGTTCCATTGCTGTTTGTAAAAAAAATCCCCCTGCTCCTCCACTGCAGAGCTGAAGAAACACCTCCTAAAGTCAGCTTTTTTTTACTCCCAACGTCCGTCGCTTGGAAACAACTTGGTGTCCCAGAAATCGTCTTTGGGCGTGTGTCTGGTGTGTGTGACGGGTGTTTTCCTGTGAGCGCTGCAGTGTGTGGGTGCGGGGGAAACTGTGTGTCAGTCCATCTCCAGGTCCATCAGCTTGTTGCGTGAGCGAGGAGTGTGCATGGTGTTACGGCAGCAGCAGTGGGCGCAAACCAGTCCGAAGACCAGAGAGAAGAGGCCCACACCTGGAGACACAGCACACGGTTACACATGGGGGGTGTTAGCAACTATACTGCTATTAATACAACTCAAACACACACCAAACATGGGGCCAGTCTGTCTTTACTGCTGTAGTAAATGTATCATTAAGTCTCATTTAAGTATATTAACTTCTTCTCTGGTTTTATTCTCCCGCAGTTTGAATGTACCGGTCCTAATGTAAACTAGGGCTGTCATTCCCAGGCTTCATCACACCTTTAATACTTAAGACTGGCAACCTTCTGGTCTCTTGCACTCGACCATTGTCAGGTAAATTATCATACGGATGTTACCTGTCTTATGTCCTGTTTGTAATCTGTATAAATGACATTGCCAGGGTCTAAATTGAGTTATTGGCCCCATAAAGTACCACCACATGATTTTCTGATGTCTCACTAATTATTGATGTTTGCAGGACTTGGACACAGTAAGAGTGTGACTAGAATCAATATTCCAGCTCACAGCACTATGAATAAATCAACTCCTGACACAACGGATGCCTCTAAACTAAGCCTGAACAGCAACTAAGGATGTCCCCAGCCCTTTTACAAGCCCAGTGCTAATTAAACCATCTTTTATAGATTGGTTTTGGCTATAATTAAGATGAAACACACTCAGATTCTTGTCTTATTTGTGCACTGGCATTGGCAGCTGTCAGTGTCCTAAATAACACGAGCCCTGCACCGTCAGCTAGATGTCAAGTCAGGGAGACAAGTGGCCAACAAAAATCATTTTCAGTGACATTTTGCAGCTTTGCTTTGATAAAAACGGCACATAAACCTTGATTTATTACCCCCTGATTTAAGTTAAATCATATAAAGCAATATCTTAATAAACAAAAGTCTTAAGCTGACACATGAAAGTATACTTTACCTATTGAGGCGGATACTCCATATAAGAGAGGTAACTGTAGGGATTCCCACACTGCAGAAGGAGAGTGACACGCGTTCAATACGAGCAAATAATATAAAATCTGACAGCGTGATCACTTGTGGATTAAAGTTGTGAAAATGAATCCGTTATCTCACCAGCGAATTTGACTGTGATGAAGATTCGGGACGAGGTCAGCTCTCCGGCTTGAGTCCAGGACCCTGTGGAGGCGGAGAGGTACCAGGGAGTGGCCACGCAGTGATACTCCCCACTGTCACTGAGCACACACACACACACACACACACACACACACACACACACACACACACACACACACACACACACACACTGACAATTACCAGCAGTGCTTCTAATGAAACAGTGTGTGTGTTCTCTGCTCCATAAAGCAGGACAGCTCTGGTAGAGAGGAATACTAAACACTATAAAAACAACATTTAGCCACACACAAACTGAGGAAAGTTCCCCTCTACTCACTGCAAGACCTCCAGTTACTGAACGCTGATTTGATTTGATATTTGGTTCTTTTTACGCTTTCTGATTACATGACATGAATATATGACTTGCACTAAAGCGGGTTTCATTAGGGCCGACACGTATACTTCTACATTGTAGCAACGAAGATTTGATGATTAGCATGTTGCAGGAATAAGCAACGATTGCATCAAATGTTGTTTCAGTCTTGTGGGATATACGGACTTCGTATATCAATCACAAACTATCCTTTGACACTCGTGGGGTTTCTCCTGCTAAACGTCCCCATTGACTTCCAACCAAACGGTCGTAGTTTTGATAAAAAACGTTGGTCTGATCGCTCTGAAATCTGCCGTTTGAGAGGATTCCTCTGGAGCCGTTTAACTTCCTGTTTAACTGGAGAGCTAATGGAGCGAGAACGATCTGCTGTTAGCACTATCCGCTCAACATTTCCAATTTGTGTTTATCCTCTCCTGTGCTCTCTTCCACTCCTGCTTTTATTCCTCTCTTCCATCTCTCTTTATGTTTGGATAGCCACCATTTGCTCCGGTTTTTACTTCGGTGTAAATGTCAGGGGTGAAATAGGGTTTGTTGTTTTCAGGCTTCTGCTGAACAGGATGTTTCTGCAGTCATGTGGAGGACACACTGAAGGAATAAGTCTCATGAAACATTTATGTGAATTTCTTTTGACGTCTCAGTATTTGAAAGTCAGAAATAACAGTTGTGTTTTTCCACTACAACTTAAATAATAGCTTGATTTGATGAGTTGTATCACCTGCATTTAGCATTCCTGCTAGTGAGAGCATGGCACTGAGACATAATTAGCATACAAGCTAACAGGAAGTTTGCACCAATATGGGTTTTTGGAGTCAAATTTTTTTCCTTAAAAGCTGCTTGTGGACACTTTTGGCTCCAATTTGAGCATTTAAAAAATAAAAATAGCTTTCCCAGAAACAGTTAATGGAGTGGGCATCATTCAGTCTTTCCGTCTCACCACTTCATGTCCTCAACTATCCGTCCTCTTTTCACTCCTTTCTCTTCACCAGCTCTTCACCACTTCCTCTCCTCTCTTTAGGAAACTTTGCATGCTGTTCTCGAGCCGCTCTCCCTCCATTTCCCATTCACTCTCTTCCCCTCTAACAATCTCTGTTCACTCTCTCCCTCCTATTCACTCCCACCTTCTCCTGCCTCTCTCCCATCTCGCCGCCTATTCTTCCTCTACCTCGTTCTGTCTCCGCGGCCGGCTAACGGAGCGTGAGATTGGCTAATTAACGGCTGCCTGTCGGCCCTGCAAAGACAGCTGGGTAATTTGGTGAGAGTGGAGAAGAGGGAGGGAGGAAGCGAGGAGAGAAGGATGTATCATTAAGCTTACCACACAGAGTTGTTTTTAAAAATATTCATCACGTTACCAGGTGCAAAAATCCTGTTCGCATTTAAAAGACAGACCTAGAGTTTAATAACCTGCATGGATATTATTTGATTTATTCCCAATGCAGATATACTGGAATTAAGAAAGCATGAGTGAGTGTCACGCTCTGTCAAAAATGTCAGCTAATGGGCTTTTGAGCATCACATTACTTTGTTTAAAACCTCTTATATAATTCATATTTGAACCATGGTGGCAGTGAAACAAGATGGACATGGTCCCCTGATTCAATTAAATCAATATTCACTTTTACTTTATTCACCATTATAAAATCCCCTGTGAATAAACCTGCTTCTTTAGCTGCTAAAAGCTCCATTTAGCTCACCAGCTAGTTGCTACCGTTATGCCTCAGCGTACAGTCGGTTTGAAAGAGTCTCTCTAACAGCTGGCTGCTGCAGCTGGAAACAACATTGGTGAGAACATTGAGACTAAACCAAATAAATAAATGTGCCGTAACACCAAAACAATGAAGCTTAAGCATCTCTCGCAGCAGAGGGACTCGTACTGATACAGCCGTTTGAGAACAGGGAGTTTGGAATATGTAAAAGCATATTTTTAGAACAATCTTTTTAAACCACACCTACATTTAATAACTCTAAAATGATGCCTTATTTTCTTCCAGTGTGTGTGTGTGTGTGTGTGTGTGTGTGTGTGTGCTTTGTTTTCTCCCTGGAGGATCACAGTGAAATGTTGAAGAGACCCAAACTGTCACAGTGTGAGCACTTGATGGTGATGTCATCTCACTACCACTGATTTAAAAGTATGCAGCCACACATACACATGCGCACACACTTCTCTAACATGCCAGTCATTCCAGTGAAATGGATGCTGTGTGTCCACATGCAGCAGCACGCTGAGATAACACATTAGTACCACACACTATAGTGTTGGAATCATGCATGTGTGTGCAGAATTTAGTCTCAAGAGAAATCTTTACATTATGTTTTCATTTATTTGAAAGCCTTCAACAAACCTAGCTTTCCTCACACTCTTGTAAAAATTGAACACACACACACACACACACACACACACACACACACACACACACACACACACACACACACACACACACACGTAAAAGTGAATAATATATATAAACTGTCTTTTCTAGAAGCGATGCTGTTGATTTCACATTTATTCACATTAATGTCTGGTGTCAATATCGTGACTGGTGTGCAATCTCCAGACAGGAAGTGATGAAAGGACGCCCCTGAAGTCTGAAAGTGAATAGAGAGCCAGTGATCATGTGTGAAGCTCTGAGGGACGCAGCTGCTGGCTGAGGGTACCAACGTGTGAAACTGCTAAGTGCAACCTCAACATAAGCTACATTTAAAAGCCTTACCACAAACCTCTGCTAGCTATAATGTTCACTACAGCTGGTTATAGGGAGGAATGTGTCATGGGATCTGTAAAAAAGTGCCTTAAAGGTGTATATCAGTATGTAGTGTCTCTACTGGGACATGTCTCCATGCTTTAAGGTTCAAAAAGCTCTTTATTTTTCTCTTACTGCCAGTGCTGCAGCACCTCTTTTCACCCTCCGTCTGAAACCAGAGCCCAGTCTGCTCTGATTGGTTAGCTCTGTTGTGATTAGTCAACCGCTAAGAGATGTCCCGCCCTTTAAATCACGTACAATGTGCTGGAAGGAACTAGCCAAGAGAAGCACGAGTGTCACATACTTAAAAAAAAATATGAATAAAAATGGACACAAATTTCCCAAATCCCAAACATTACGCGGCTAAAACTCAAATATGTTATGTCATCAATGTGTCTATGTGATAATGCACATATCTGCTGTGGTTCAAGAAGAGTTTCAGACTTGTCGTTACCATAAAGTAGTTTCGTTTCTCTGCAAAGGGTTCAGGTCAGGTCACACTTACTAGGTATTTGTCAAAAGCTTCAATAATAAAAAGGCAGAAGAGTAACTCACTAACTAACAAATAAGAGGGTTGACGTGTGTACTATTCACCGTTCCCCTCATAAAACAAGCTCCAACAGGAGGGCTATCAGCCATCCATGAGGAATGTACCACACACACACACACACACACACACACACACACACACACACACACGTAATGTCCTCAAAATTCTCTTCCTGTTCCTTTGAGTCACAGAAACAAAAAGGTGAGTTAGTTACTTATCAATTTGTCCAACAATACACACGTGCAGACGTTCAAACGCTCTTCATGACACAGCTGATATGACTCAACTGGTATAACTGTTTCGACCTTCAGTCTGACACGCCCAAATAAAATGTAAAAGATTGTGTGTGTGTGTGTGTGTGAGCAAAACACCAGAGGAAGTTGGCTGTTGTGCCGCACCTTTGTTGATCCATGTCACTCGATACTAGTCTGCTGATTGGTCGATTTCCTGTGTGTCATTCACGCTCGTAACCGGGACTGTGTCACCTTCTGTTACCGAGTCACTGTGGAAATATTGAATCAGTCTCTAAGAGGATGAAGAACTGGTAGAAAAAGATACTGAAAGCAGGATTAGCAGAAGAGTCTGAAATGAATCGGCATATTTTCGAAGTCAAATATTTTTGAGTGGGTTTATATTTTGATGCCTTAAATAAAGATGGAGGTTAACACGAGTTTAGAATTCTTGCATTTCTGGTTTCTTTGTCTTGAAGTCAATGTGTTTTTGGTTAAAGGTCATTTTAACGTTTTTCTACAACATGAAATACATCACCTTGTTATTTGTGAAGCTTTTATGCGTCTTAAATAAAGTTGTAGCAATAAAATGAAACGACTAAACCTCATCACACGTAACACAAGACAGTCTAAAACTAAAGCGGTGCCAAGGAGCTCCATTGATGTCCGAATCTTCATCACCATGCACCTGGGCACTGTACTTAATTCTAAGTCCATCCAAACACACCGTCACTAAAGCACCAGATACATATTCATCTGCCAACAAATGCACTTTTACTGCCAAGGTGTGTTCCTGAACAGCACTGAGTCAGCTAGAGACGTTGAAACCGGATCACACACACGTCACACACACACAGACCATGAGACAACATGAGTCACAGTGACTGTAGCCCAATGCTGAGGATACAATAATTTCCCTTTATCAGCGTCTAGCCTCTCATTTAGAGGCACTTTTCTGCATTGCTTCTTACGTATATCTGTCTCAAAAGAACAAGTTGTATCGGACAAGAATAACAGGAACATAACGTCCCTGTTCCTCACTGAAGCTTACTTCTTTGTCGACATGATGATTATTTACTACATTTATATACAAATGAGTCCGTCCCAAAGCTTCTAATCTACAGAATAAGTTCCCTCTATTTGAAGGAACACAAGTGCCTAGTATAAGCTGACAACTAATGCAACTTCTCAAAACACTGCTACACAATAATACAGTTTCTGCATCACTCCGTCCTCCCCACAGTGAGCACGTCCATGCGTTACTTCCCCATCAGCTGTGATGCTGAGAGGGAATTTCTCCCATGGTGCATCTGTCTGCGAGAGAACGCTCCAGAAAACCCTGCAGCGCTGCGAGGAAACATTTATGTTGATGTATGAGCATACATTACATGCATGACACACACAGGTGCAAAGACACGAAAACAGTGTGTCCAAACACTGCAGGAAACACCATGACCACACACACACACACACACACACACACACACACACACACACACACACACACACACACACACACACACACACACACACACACACACACACACACACACACACACACACACACACACAATAGGGAGGAAAAGGGGGGAGAGAGAGGGTGACAGATGGGCAGAGGGAGGTGCTGGGGGATGATGTCATGTGATAAGTTAAAGAGTGAGGAGGACGAGGAGGGAGGGAGATGGATGGATGTTTAGGCTGAGGAAGGAGAGATAGTTATGGGATTTACTGCAGATCCAAAAAAGGGAATATGTGCTGGAGGTCGCATTGCAGATAATTAATTTACTGTATAATTTTGAGGTACTTGTACTTTACCTGAGTATAGGGACATCTGTAACACTTAAAGGTTATTTTGTATCCATTATTGCTTTCTGTGTTCTAGTTTACACAATTATAAGCTAGCTCTAGGTGTAAAATAGAGATGTTTTACTATATTCTAAAGCCAGTATTTCAAGCTGCAGCCGCACCACTAACAAAGGAAAGTGAGAGAAATTAGAGTGTGTGTGTGTAATAAGAGTGTTTTTCATCTATGCAACCTTTGGAGACGCGGGAGTCACATCACACTCGACAGGTTGGCAGGTGAGCAGCGAAGCAGAAGAACAAAGCGGTCGTTGGAGTGTGTGTTACAGAAAAAAACAAGCATCTGATTTCTGAGTGTTACTGAGAAAACAAGTACCTGTGTGCGCTCCGGTCTTCGGGGAGGATCCGGAGACGCTGAGAGAGCACTCCATCTTGGCCGTTTCCCACGGATACACATTGGTGCCGTCCGATTGGATGGCCACGGAGAAGGAGGGGCCTGCAACAGCAAACAAATACACTTTTTAGGAAATAAAACAACATTTAACACACATGGAAAACCTCTCAACTGAGATCAAAAGGATGCTGCTTCCAGGTCCCTGAGGAGAGTGAGATCACTGGGAGAGAAAATGGTGTTCAGATGGTGAGCACTGCTTTGATGTCCTCCGATATGCTGAAAACTACAAGGAGGAATCAGCTGAGGTGCAGATAAAAATAGATTAGTAAAAATAGATTAAAGAATTTAAGCTCTGAAGGGGAAACAGGACACCTTTTAACTACCTCCTAGCATTTCAACGTAGTATAGTCTGCTTTTTTCCTCGAGTACGAAGAAACAACGCAGATATAGTATAATAGTTATATTGCGCTGAAGTAGCTACAGCAGGGGTGTCAAACTCAATTTCTTCGCGGGCCACATTATGGTTGCACTCAAAGGGCCGGTTGTAACTTTAAGACTATATATCAAAATACGTATATAAATATTTAATATATATAAAATAATGTATTATTCGACATTATTTCCTCTGCTTGACACACATTATCGGATAGGGTAATAACTTCATAAGTTAACTACGTCTGAAAGCAGAAGTCTGGGGCAAATCATTGCAAGTCTCTTCAGTGAGAATGTTACAAAATGATTTAAAAAAAAATCTAATTCTGAGAAAAAAATGAATATTTTGAAGAAAAAAAGTCAAATTCTGAGAAAAAAAGTCAAAATTGAGATGCATTGTGGGACATGTAGTTTATGGGCAACGTGCTTCTGTAAATCGGCATGTAACCGTATAATAAACATATTATATTCTTTGCAAGCTCTTGAGGGGCCGCATGAAATGAAGTCGCGGGCCGGATTTGGCCCCCGGGCCTTGAGTTTGACACCCCTGAGCTACAGGATACGGTGTTCAGTGGTATGTTTTACTCACAAAAAAAACACACGTTTGTCTGAAATACTGCCTGTTTTTTTAGGGTATTCTAAAATGTCATGCATCATTGTTTTGCTTTAAGATGTAGATTTCTACTTACTCCCCTAATTAAGAAACATTTGTGTTGATTGAAGGAGAATTCGCCTTCTCGTTAGCGTTCGGCTTCCCAAAAAAGTATTGGTTTTCGGGTGGGCCTTGCACCGTGTTGTTGTGAAACGATTTGGACTCTTTATCAATTCTTCATTTTAAAATATACCACGCAAGAAGAGTGATAGAGTCAACGCGGCCAATCAGTAGCATTAGCCGGACGAGCTAACAGTCAGTATGGAGGAAATATAGCAAATAAATATCCTGGAAACTCTGCTTTCTTGACATGACTTCTTTAAAGTAGCCACTCAAGCCAGACTCATTTTAATATGTATTGTAGAGCTTTGGACCTACATTGTTTCTAGATGGTTAAACTTAAGGTTGAGGGGGCCTCACCAAATTCCTCAGTTATCTTCCTGACCCAATGTCATTTTTAGTGTGAGACCGACGGATTGTAGGACAAACCCTCTGCTGTTCTTAGACAGAGAGCAGCGGTCTGTAAAAGACCAACTCTGACCTACACATTCATTCATGTTTCAGAGTAGCAGCAGCTGCTTTCAACACGCTGTGGGTTTCAGTGCTTTCAAAACATCTCTGATTGTATTTAAGCTGTTCTGACAGTTTCCCCGAGAAACATTCATGCATTCATGAAGTCTTGTGCAAACAATCTCCTGTATTATACATGCACTGTGGCTGCTGAGACACAATGTGGAGGCATGTAAAACATCTTTCCTGGGTCACAGCGCTGAGAGCTGAAAGTGAGTCAATCAGGCTTTCTTGGGTCTGGCAGCAGCCCTCAAGAACACGGTATACAAAGAAGATTTTGTCCAGCTAACCAATCAGAGCAGACTGGGCTCTGGTTTCAGAAAAGAGGTGCTGCAGCACAGGCAGCATGAGAAACATAAAGAGCTGTTTGAACATTAAAGCATGGAGACATGTCCCAGTGAGACTACATACTGATATGCACCTGAACATCAGCAGGAGAGGACTCTTTAAAGTAGAGACACTACATACTGATATACACCTGAACATCAGCAGGAGAGGACTCTTTAAAGTAGAGACACTACATACTGATATACACCTGAACATCAGCAGGAGAGGACTCTTTAAAGTAGAGACACTACATACTGATATACACCTGAACATCAGCAGGAGAGGACTCTTTAAAGTAGAGACACTACATACTGATATACACCTGAACATCAGCAGGAGAGGACTCTTTAAAGTAGAGACACCACATACATACACCTGAACATCAGCAGAAGAGGACTCTTTAAAGTAGAGACACTACATACTGATATACACCTGAACATCAGCAGGAGAGGACTCTTTAAAGTAGAGACACTACATACTGATATACACCT